ATATATATATATGTGTGTGTGTGTCGATTCCATCTTCGATCTCTCTCTTCTTTTCCCATCTCCGCTTCCGCATTATCGCCACGCGCGATTGTTACCCGCTTCTCGTAGCAAACTTTCTGTAATGAATTTCCATCGTTTCCTCGAAATCTTCGCTGCCTCGATACGATAGGAAAGAAGAGAGAGGGAAAATTCGGAGATATCCTGATCCGATATCGAGGAATTAGAACTGGCTGCGTCCTCGTCTGGAAGAATAATTTGCAACGCGACGCGCGTAGACGTGGAGGGCAGGGACGGGTTCCTAAAAGGAGGACAATTCCGGGGAAGAGTGGAGCCGTTTGAAACNGTGTTGTCCCGGAGCAACGGTGTGGCGAAGGAAGGAAAACGGGAGAAGAGAGGAGGAGAGTAGTGGCGTAGTAGGTCGGTGGCCACAATTCTGGAAAGCCCAAGTTGGCTGGCGTGGAAGGTCGGGACACGGAGTCGACCATGATGTATGCTCCTCTTCCGTCTAATTAAACTTGGGGAGGGTCGCAGAGTTGGTTGGTTGGTTGGTTGGTTGGTTGGTTGGTCGGTCGGTCGGTCGGTCGGTTGGTACGCTGGCTGGTCGGACAGACGTACGGACGGGCCGGTGAGGGGCGGCCGTCGGGATGGCTTTCAAAATGACAGTCAAGGAGGGAGAGGGAGAGAGGGAGAGAGAGAAGGAGCGAAAGCGGTGAGAACTGGCGAACAACGGAGAAAGACGTCGCCTCTCGACCTCTCTCGTCGTCCCGGAACAACCGGAACGATTCGCTACTCTGACGTCGTTACGATGTCCTCCGCCGTTTCAACATCCTTGTATCGAATTAACGTCCGTCCATTTCTACCCACCTTTACAGACGTCTAAATTGTTCATTTTCTTCTTCCGGGGGGACGGATAAATCACCGTTCTCGTTTCTTTGCGCTGCCGACTCTATTTTCCCGAAACCGACTTTCACCGATTTTCTCGGTAAACTTTTCACGTTTCGCAAGAGGTTTCGAGCAATTTCTCGGCCCCTGTATACGAAATCAGGAGCGCACAGACGCATAGCATACTACTCCGTTATCTCTTCAGAAAGTAAGAAACATTAATTATCATCGATTACGAATATGTCAATTATCAAACGTGTCAATACGATGAATCGCGTTAGATATGATAAATCAAGGAAAGTTGAATATATAGAAGTCGTTCGCGATGGTATAAATTTATCATACCGTGAAAGCGAAAAGGGATCCATCGTTTCCATCGGGAATTCCAGATCTTAGCCGGCCACCGACCACGCCGTTTCACCCCGAAACATTTCGAAATCGCGGCGACCCGCGCCAAGGAATTCGTCGGTGCTCGCCAATAACCTGTCCTCGTTCGAGAGAGCCAACGCCAATCCCCGACTCGCGTTCCGCATTGACGTGCGCCGAAAGAAAAGAAGCGAGAGGTGAAGGGTGAGATAGGACGGTACGCGGATCACATACATAGTTTTGCATAGAGAGGATAAAAAGCGTGTCGTAGATGAAGAGAAAAAGGGGAAAAGTTAGGCGACTGTATTTTCAGCCGACGATCAGAAACGAATACCGTGCAGAGGGCACGGCTGGTATATCATATCGTGAGAGACGTTTATTAACTGGTTCTTCTTCTCTTCTTCTCGAGTTATTGGAATACCAATCAGTTATACGCAGAAGTTATACGCAGATTAACGAATTACAGAAGATGTGGAAGAAATTATTGAAAAATATCTCTTAAGAAGTTTCTTAACGAATTACGTATAAAATGAATTTTTTAAAGATACTTCTCTCGCATATATATTGTTCGTTTATCTTCAAAAAAATCTATCCATAGGCATTCGAAACTATGGAATAATTTCGAATAAAAATATAAGGGAATGATGGAAATCGGCGAGAAGCTGGTTGCATCGTGATTGAGCCACACCCGTTTCAGACATCTGTTCCGCGATAATTACAGGCGAAACGGTCCCGCGGGGTGGAAAGGGGGAAAACGTTAGCCCTTGTTGGTGGGGCCGTAAGTCATCGCGAGAGAAAGATTAGGACGCTAAATCAAGACTGTTGAGGCTGTAATTCGTTTGGTGGAAAAAGGGGGATGTCGGAAGGAGGTCTTTAAGAGAGCTGGCACTCGAGTGAATACACACTTGGCTCGAGTCAGTTACTCTTTTAAGCCGTAATATGTATCCACCGCGCCGAATGAATTCTGGTTCGCGGTATAGTCTCGCTTAATCGCTCGTAATAACGCTGAGACGAATGTCTGAGCGGGGCGACCGTCACGAAAAACCGTTTTAATTTCTGGCAATGAATACCTCGTAACAGCACGATCCTCCGTCACCAATTTTACCAAAGAATACGTATCTCTTTGATACGCGAACATCTATAATCGAAACATAAACCGAATACGAAATTTTTTTACGCCCGATAATAATGATCTAGTAAAATCTGGATAGATCTAAAACTCCTTTCAAAAAGAATTTCGATTCGGCAAAAATAATCGAGGAGAAAGTATAAATTTTAATATTCGATATTTGCTCGTTCTATTCGTTCGTTCCTCCCCCTAATTCTAAACTAATTACTCTCATTTCCAACTGTTATAATTAACTCTCCTTTCTAAATTGCAATATCGCCACACTACAACCTATATTCAACATTTCCATTCCAAATAATACGATAACAAGATTTTGGATCGCCACTCGTGCCTCCGCTCGTACTTATCGTCCTTATCGATAATCATGCCGACGTAGATGATAAGCGCGATGATAATAAAATTTCGCGATCGAAGATCGGACAGGGGATCAAATCGATATCACCGAACACCGATATCAACACGGGGACACGTATCCTCGAGTTACATTAAAATCCTTTCAAGCGTCGCGGCGTTAACCGCGAGGAGGAGAACGCGATTAACCAAGAGCAAGAGGAAGAGCCGCTCGTCGCCGCTCTATCTATCGGGTGCGCCCAAAGCTCGTCTTTTCACGAGCGCGATATCGTCATCGCGCAAACAGCGTATATGCATTAAACCATGAACCCACTATCCCCGACGTCATATCCAATACACGTTGTTGGGGG